CTACATCTTTCACTTCTGATCTGCGCCTCCCACGAGCTCTGACCACAAGCTCTTAACTGAACGCTGGTGAACCTGCTTCACTGATAAAAACGGCCTTCAGAAAAGTTTTTAAAGGAGATGAAAAGACATGTAGATGTACGTTTGGAGAAGTATCACCTTACTAATCGCAATACAATCTGCGTTTTGCGACAGCACGCAGATGCTGCATCATAACGGTCAAATGATAAGCCGTGAAAACAAGGAAGCCCTGCTGTAAATGGTCAAACTTCAGAGCTGCTGCTGATCAAACACACATATGTCTGTGCGCACACACCCATTCAAGCCTTCTGCATTAAACGGAACTTTTGCCGTAAGATTCATATTTGGAATATGACAGATAGACAGAGAAGCCCGAGTTATTCCTTTATTGTGTCGCTCATGGAAAGATCCAGAGGAGCGGCTCAGGAGCGACATGAGCATCGGCTAACAGTCTTGACAGTTCCGCTGTATCAGTAAACCACGACCAGCTAACAATAGCCTATCAATAATCATATCAGTACCCAAACCAGACAGCGGTTACCTTGAGATATGAGTGCGGCGCTTTTCTCTTTCTGTCAAATCCCTGGCTGTCAGGCTGAGATAAAATTCCCCTCCTGCTGCCTGAAGCGTCTCTAGTCAACGGGCCTTGGCCTTCACTTCCGCTTTGAGGGACGAACTTCCGTAATCCGCCTTCTTCCGAGGAGGAGGGGCTTGTTTTTGATATACGTGGAGGTGGCCAATAGAATCGCGCTTATATATTTCTCAATCACGACAAGATTATAATAAATGTCAACTTTTTTTTAGCCTTTAATTACTTTTTCTTATTTTAAGTATTGAAAGATACTTAAAATACTTTTTTTTCTTTTCTTTTTTCTTTGACTTCTAACTTGCTGTGTTAGGCAGTGATGTTATTAACTAAACCTAAAACTATTTAAAAATCGTTTATGTTCATTGAAATAAAGCAGAAATCAAATATAAATATAAATGTTAGATGAAAAACAAAATGAAAATGTGCAACGCTGCCTGGCAACTAGCTAAAAATGAGTTTATGTTGATGTACTAAAAGAAATGAAATAAAAGCAAATGAATGCTAAAGAGAAATATATTTTATTATATAAAAATCTTTTTTTAAAGCAAAATTACTAAAACTTAAAAATTGGAATAAAATCTATAAAAATAAAAAAATAAAAGCTAAATAATAATAATAATAATAACAACAACAACAAGCCCAAGGCATATTTGACCATTACCATTGCATGACAGTGTTGATTAAGATTTATTTTATGTTATTGTTTCTTTTCTTTCCTTTCTTTCTTTCTTTCTTTCTTTTTCTTGCCCTTTTAGTGTCTATTGAAAGCAGATTAGTTTCAATTCTATTTTACTTTGATAACATAAACAAAATTGTTTAAATTAAAAATGACTTTATTAACCATATAAGTCAATTAAGATAGGGTTATTTGGGCATACAGTCATTTATCATATTTAATAATAATAATAATAAGGTAATAAGATGCCACAGCAATTTACATCTGCTCTGTAGACTGGAAAACGAACCCATGCTTTGTGTTATAACAAGCTCTACCTGAAAACAAGATCAGCTGTGCATGTGCTCAAGGTCATGTACTAACCAATAATCACCAAGCTGGGGCGCTACAGGCTAATTACATTTACATTTACATTTAGTCATTTTGCAGACGCTTTTATCCAAAGCGACTTACAGTTGGGGAATACATTTTTTATGGATTATTATTATTTTTATTTTTTTTTTTATTATTATTATTATTTCGTCAAACGCTGGATGATTTCTGTCAGGTAAATTACACCTGTGATTCTTAACCTTTTTTGCTCTAAGGCCCCTAGTTGTCCAAGACAATATTCGAAAAACAAAACTAAACTAAGATATTTCCAGTATTTCTAATATTTATGCTACAATTGCGACAAAGCTGCTTGTTTTAAAAAAAAAATTAATCAAAAGAAGCAGGGAGTATTGGTATATTACATTTAATTGAACACACAATTTATTTTGTGATTCCATAAGTTTTAAGAACTGTTTGTTCTTCAATTAAAGCCATAGCCATTGAGGGTCAATCATAAGGTCCCACTAGTTAACATCAGTTAATGCAATAACTAACATTAACTAACATTAACAATAGCAATACATTTGTCACAGTATTTATTAATCTTTGTTAATGTTACTTGATAAAAATGTCAGCTCATGTCCGTTAAAAATATTAATAGATATTAACTTTTTTCATGGCTAGTTCATGTTAACTAATGTAGTTAACCAATGTATTTTAAAGGGGTCCTATAATGTTGCTAAAAAGAACATTATTTTGTGTAGTTAGTGTAATTAAATGTGTTTATGTGGTTTAAGGTTCAAAAAACACATTATTTTCCACATACTGTACATTATTGTTTCTCCTCTATGCCCCGCCTTTCTGTAACGCGTCGATTTTTACAAAGCTCATCAGTCTGAAAAGCGAGGTGTGCTGTGATTGGTCAGCTATCCAGTGCGTTGTGATTGGCTGAATACCTCAAGCGTGTGGCGGAAATGTTACGCCCCTTACCGTACTGTGATGATGCCCTGTCTGGCCGGAGCGAAGAGACAAAAACATTAAAACCCATTATAAACGAGGCGTTTGTTGCATCCAGTGGGGACATAATTACTGATTATAATGACTTATACTGTCTTTTTACGCGTTCTCTCGCACCGCGTAAACATAAAACCCTGTCTGCATTTGTGATCAGAGAAATGACAAACAACAAGCACTACTCTACACCGCTCAAAACTCGCGTTTGAATCATCAGTGGCAAATCCACAGCACTAAGTTGATGTATTTCCTCAGCGACCAGCACGGATCAGCTCTAGGCATGACGAAGCAGATATCGTCCTCTTTTGGAAGACCAAACAAAGTAGTTTCGCTTTCACAACGAAACACACAGCGTCTCGACATGGCGGTGGCAACAATACTACAGCGAGAATAAAAGTTAATCCTTCTTTCTTTGCATGAGCATTTGTGCGGCGTTATGCAAATCTTCCCACATCGTGATGTAGATATGTGGGGGGGTGTTAGAACAAGCCGTTTTAGGTAGGTGTGGTTGACTCTTAACTTTTATAAAGAATATCTCTTTGGATTTGAGACTTTAGTCTTTGCAACTTTACAGATCTTCTTTATGCACCAAGAGCTTGTAACACTCCAAAGAGAAAGGAAACATTTAAATCTCATTATATGACCCCTCTAAAAATAAAACATTATTGTAAAGTATTACTTTTGGATTTTACATGTTGTTTTAAGATAATTTTAAATGATTAATAATTTATTAATTTAAAAATGTACACAGAAAAAAAGGTACAAAATCTTGGGGTGGTACCTTTCCAAAAGGAGTGCATTTTAATACATTGAAGGTACATATTAGTACCTAAAGTATACATATTAGTACCTTTTTAAAGATTACCACGCCAGTGACAGCTTTTGTTCTGAGTGTACCTTATAAAGTTTGATGAAGCCCCCGGGGTTGAGAAACTCTGAAGTAAGGATGCCCTAGAACAGTTTTATTACGCATATCTGATATGTTTCAATAGGCTACAACCTTCCTTTATTTAGTTCCCAATCACATATTGCTGTCAAATTAAATCAGATCTTTTCTACACAGCGTTAGATGCAACAAAACCTGCTAATTACTGCCCAGCAGTATATGTAGCACAATCAGTGAGCAGTGTGTCATTAAAGTTATGCATAGGTGGCAAGTACACATATGCTGCCATATTCTCAACGACTGCTTTATGCCATTAATAACCATGCTCAATTTTACTCAGACACACAGCAACTGTTTCTACTCATTATCCGATAAATATTACGCATTCAATATATGAATACAATAATAATAATAAAAAAATAATTTCCCTATGACCAAAAGATTGGCACTCTGATGACAAAATAGGCTTATTTGACCACATACTGGCCTAACTCTAGCACCATCAGTCAATGTTCCAGCTACATTTCAAATAAAAACAGTAGAAAAAGATGCATATAGATATAGAAATAGATATCCCTTATGAAATGTTGACATGAGGCATATATCAGCCTGGGGAGGAGCTGAGAGATAACAGGTTGTTAGTCAGATTATCCCACAACCTAGCAGCATGTGTGGGTAGCCTCCTGCGGCTAATGATGTGTCTGGAGCCCTGATGTAGACAGAAAGAGCGAGATGGTGGGCGTCTAAAGAAACATCTCTTCGGAGAAGATCAGTGCAGCATAGCTGCCTCAGTATGTGTGGTTTAAACTAGATTTGTGTCTATGTGTGACTATGTGTCTTTACTTCGATGTGAGGTTAAGCATATTCTGATGTTGCAGTCACATCAGCTGAATAATAAAACAAGTTACCATGTTGATTTTCGATAGTTTCACATGATAGTCATTTTACATAATACCAATACAATGTTTTAGTTTTTTTAATTTAAGGAAGGACAACATGGTTTCGCATGTAATCAAATATACTGTACTCCATTAAATGAGCAATGACTGGCAAACAGATTTGTGGTTTATTCTCTGAAGAGGGTATTTTCAACAGGCAAATGCCCCCGTGTCATTTAATTTAGTCAGGCACAGTCGAGAGATAAGGAAATGGAAGATTTATTTAACAATACAGGTATGAAAGAGGCCCAGAAAAGATATATGAAGAGAAAGAATAAATCAAGTTCTTTTAATATTCTGTGAAAAAAGAAAAAAAGAAAAGAGGCTCAGCAACAAAAATAAATGTATATTGCTCTGCACATACTTTTATAAACATTCTGTGTGAGACCATAATTAAATTTTTTTATAAAGAAACTTAAAAAATGAAAGTTCTGGCATTATTTTAATAATTTATACAAAATGCATTATGTTAAAAATGTTGGTAGCAACTTACTTCCACTGTAAGGGCAAAAAAAAACAAAAAAACAAAAACAGACATTTCTTAAAATATCTTATTTTATGGTCCACAGAAGATGATGACAGATTTTAGATTTTTGTGTGAACTATCCCTTTAACACTCGAAAATGTCAGGGAAATAAAATGCAATTAATCTTTTGTTATTAAATCATGAAATTAGGTACAAGTGTTTTAAAATGAGGCTTTGAAAAAGATGCAGTGTGATAACAGCCTGTAAATTCTGGCTCTTCATTATCTATGACTCAGTCCTAAGGGACACCGTCTTATACAAAACCTACACGGTGAAACTGCCAATGTAAAATCAAGCCATATGGAGCAAAATAAAATTAACCAGTGGAAACAGATTTAACCTAAATACAATTAAGTATGACTCACAGATCTTAAAGTCCTACTTGATTCGAAAAAGAGGCAATTTTGAAACAATAGGCACAGTTTTGCACATTATTGTGCATGTCTAGCATAACCCACATACACGGCTCCCACAATGCATTGCATTTGGTTAAAATGGAGGCATTATCCATGCAGTAGACAAAGAGTGTGTTAGAATACTTTTAAAATGTCCATCACTCCTGCTCAGCGACGACTCAATCATTGTGTCGCTCATCAGCAGGTCCTGGTTTCCCCTGTTTTTCGCCATTGGATGATACGATGGGCTCAAGTGTGTGAACAGGACTCGATCCCACCATGTCATTCTGTCTCGGACCTGTGGGGAAATGCAGCAAGCTGGAACTACAAATCCCAGAATGCAAAAGTGAACTGACTGCTATAAGGGGCTTTGATGGGCCGGTTGGTGTAACTGATAAATGGATGGGTGTGGGCACCCTGTTGTGCAGGTCAGAGGTCATCTGTACATTTAAAGATGGATGCGACTGACTCTGGATGTTATGGGTGCACAGAGACAATGTGTTGCCAGGACTCCCACTCCTAACCTGAGGAACCAAACCACTGGACGGAAATGCTGCCAAGCCTAGGAGTGACCCGCCATTGCAGGGAACATGGTGTCCTAGATAAGGAGAGTTGGGTGTGGTTTTAGAAGTCTGACATGAGTTTGGCTGACTCTCTACACCTAAGGTGGCGACCCTTTCCTGGTCGGGGCAGCATGGAAAATAGGTTGAGTGAGAACTGTGAGCTTGATGGAGGAGCTCTATGTCCCCTTCCTGCCCCAAGACGGAGCCTCTTTCCTGGGCATGGCTGCCGCTGCAAATGCACGTGTGCCTGGATCCTAAAGAATCTCTCCGAGACGCCTCCGGCTGCAGGCAAGGACCGGCAGACATGTTAAAGGCCAGTCTAGATGGCCAGTCTGTGGTGGAGGAGGCCACGCTAGTACAGTTGGATGATGTATGACAATTGAATGAGCTGAAGGGGGTGAAAGAGGACGTGAAGTGAGGTGGGGTCACGTGCATATGCAGGAATTGCATCATTTCGTAGAGCTCCTTGGTCAGTGAGGACACTTCCTGGTTCAGGTGGTTCATCTGAAACAGAATCAAATCAAAAGTTTATGTCAGAATATTAGTGAATGACAAATAATGGTGATGAACGTCACAAATACTATTTAATATAAAGAAAAACTGTTTTTTAAAACTTATTTCTTTTGATAAACAGCAGGATTATCTTGATACCTCTGTATTGAGTTGACGGAGACTCTGTCTGACCTCCTCTGTCTCAAGGAGAAGGTTTGCGCCAACCTGAAATGGGTCTAAAAGAACCAAAAGAAGTAAGAAACAGACCCTTTTTATGCTAAATGTATCATAATATCAGATATATCATTTCCACCAGGATCTTAATTTTTTTTTTCGAATTATTGGAACCTAAAATGACTTTGCAGCACGTTTTCTCAGTTATTTTAAAGTGGAAGTGAACCAATAACAATTATGTATTTGTGTTTGTCAGTGACAGAAGGAATACAATTAATGGTGACCTGAATGTGCATAATGAGTGTGTTTACTGTACATGTACATCAAAACACCAGTAACTATTGAAAATAATGTGCATACTGAATAAGCTGCCAGAATGCCAATAAAGGTGTTTACATCACAAGGGAAATTGGGGTAATGGCCAAACCATTTTTGACCTTTTTCCAATAATAGAACACCGTTTAAAGTGTGTGCATGACCTTACAAGCTGTCAGGTTATTAAGGTGTAATATGGATAATAGGTGTAAGATTGTGCATGCAATTGCCTTAATAATGTAATAGTACACTGAAGACATGTGAACAGCACATTGACATATTTAGCGAAAGAGTCAGTTTGATTGGCCTGGGATTTAAAGATTTTGACTGGCTAATATTGCATTATTTTTACCTTATTTGCAATTTCAAGATTGCAAAATCCTGGAGGTACTGATATTTAAGATGCATTTGTCTAAAACCTATAATTTCATTAAAACAATTTAATAAAAAAAATATACCAAAATATCATTAGTCTAAAAACCTTTTTAGTCTAAAAACCTTTTTACAGTAAATCAAAACCAATAGTTCTTAACCAGGGGGCCTCAACAAGTTTGGATAAAAATAAATTTTTCTAGTAATGTCAAACTCTAAAATATTTTTTGAGGTAGAAATATCCATAATAAGAGGGATTTTGAAAAATGTTTTGCACAGAGGTTTGAGACAGAGATTGAGAACCACTGAACATAACCATAAGGCACTAGTCTAATATTAAGGGAGAGTCCACCTCACCTTTGACCTCTGTGTTAGGAGATGGCTCACTGTGCTCAACATTGAAGTGAAAAGCATGTTCGTTGTCCTCAATGCCATCAACAACCCTACAGGACAGACAAAAGGATATTAGTGCATCAATAATCAATATTATCTGCTCTCAATATCAATAATATTTGTATATGGATGTTTCCATTTTCTAGAGGTAATGCCATTGTAAATATAGTTAAAGCAAAGACTATAAAAAAAATAATAATGAATTCTAGTTTATTCTCACCGGGGGCTCAAGTCCAGCGGGCTGACACAATTCAGAGTGGGAATGAGCAGTTTGGCTGGTCTGTGGCAGGAGCTCTTGTCTATTCTTGGAGCGGGAACTGCAGCTGGAGACAGATCATCATGGGGTGGCATCTGAGGAGAGGGGCTTTGAACCCGGGAGCTTTGAATGGGCGATCTGCAGAGACGAAGCATGCTAAGGTGCCGAAACTCCTCCCCTAACATGGTGCTCAGATTAGGCTGAGATGAAGGACCGCTCAAGCCAGAGAGCAAGGGCTTCCTGCCCAGGTCCTGTCCAGCATCCTCCTCTTGCTCTGTCTCCACGATAAACGGCAGCTTGGAATCATCAAAGCACTCCTAGAAGTAATAGAAAGCGGTAGAGAAAAGAGCATAAATGTAGTGTAGGTAGTTGCTATGTTATTACCTCTTTATTACCAGTCCAGAATATATTTGAATGCGATTAGTCATAATCACAGCCTTTAAAGGTGATTGTTTTTAGTTCATTTGTAGAGCACAGGAAATGCATGAATTTGTGTGCAAAAAACAAACACTGCTTCTTGGATACTGCACTGTAGAAATATTATTCAAGTATTAAATACTTATTTAAGTATTAATTAAAAAAATGCTGTCATGTTTTAAAACATGTTGTCTTGTGAAATCAGTTTGACTTGTGAGTTTATTCCTCCATTAAATTGATTGCTTAGATTTTTTTAATAAAACAAAAAAGTTATCTCATATGGCTATTAATGTGCTGAATATTTATGTAATGTTGTCAGTAGTTTAATCACTCTGCTCTTTTTGCATGACATGTACACTACTTGTGAACTTTCTATTCATCAAAAAATATAAGATAATAAAATGTATCACAGTTTCGACAAAAATATTAAGAAGCCCAACTATTTTCAGCATTGATAAAAATAAGAGATGCTTTTTGAACAAATCAGTATATTAGAATGATTTCTGAAGGATCATGTGACACTTGAGACTGGAGTGATGATGCTGAAAATTCAGCTTTGACATCACAGGAATCAATTATATTTTAAGAAACATTAAAATAGAAAACAGTTATTTTACATTATAACAATATTTCAATTACTGTTTGTATTGTATTTTTTTATCAAATGAGTGCAGCCAGCATTAGAGACTTCAAAATAATAATAATAATTTAAAAAACTGGAGAATATTACACTGAACAATTTGCACAGAACTCTGTCATTAGAGCTATCTAATCTAAGTAGATCATTGTTACAGCGATGGCAAATTGTAAGTCATGGCAACATGACATCTAAAATGTACTCAGAGGATTTACTTAAAATAATTAAATAGCTCAACTGAATGCAAAAAAGCCATGAAAACACTTGCCTTTTTTATTTCTATGAACCACTCGCTTTTTACAGTGTGGGGTTTCATGCTCTCTGCTTTTGCAACAGAACACTCAAAATTATTTATGAGTCACTGTTCTGTGTGTGCCATCATGTTCTTATGAGCTTTTGAGTCTGTGACTCTGTGCGTGTGTAGCTGTTCTGATCATTAAAACAGCTGGCACAGCAATGAGACAGAGGGTCAGATTGCTAATTCATCTGATTCAGGCACATCCAGATGAGGTGCTGTCTGCCAACTCTGATGCCGTGCGCACACACACGTCTGCAGTTCAGAGTGACACTAATAATCACGAGCTTATGTAAGGTGGCCTTTTGATAAGTATGGGTATGGAAGTGCATGTGTGCAAGCATGAGTGTGAATGGAAAGGTTAAAAAGAATGAATAAAAGTCAACATTTTGAACAACACTCTAAAAGTGTATGATAAATCTGCTTGTTACCTGTGGGAGTCGAGTTGAATGAGAGAATCTGGATTGGCCCTGTTGAGATAAAAGAAAATCCTGAGTACCATAATCTTTCTGCTTATTAAATTAATGGGCATGACATAATAATTGAGATTTAATTATCATGTCAGAGGGACTTTCTATTTTACCTTTCTATTTATAAAAAAAATCCAAACAAAACGAATCATACTTTTCACACAAATATTAAGCAGCACAATGGTTTTCAGCATTTATAATAATGTGAAAAGTTTGTTGAGCCCCAAATCAGTGTAATGGTAATAGCTAAAACTTCAACACTGAATGGCTGCTGAAAATTCAGCCATCACAGGAATAAATTACATTTTAAAATATATTTAAATTGAAAACATTTCAATGTTTCTATTTTAAATAGCATTGATATTTCACAATATTACAGTTTTTACTGTATTTTTGATCACATTAATGCAGCCTTGGTGAGCAGAAGATACTTTTTTCAGCAGTATTAAAAATCTTACTGTCCCCAAACCTTTATATGATAAAATATATAGAAAAATTAAATATATAGACAGAATATGTTTGAAAAAACTATTGAAATTAATTAAGTGATTATTGCAACAATATGTCCCAAAACAAACAGATAAAAGGACATGAAATAATAATTTAATTTAAGATTGAATTATTCATTATATGAAAAGAAAGGGACAGCTGAATTACACAAGAGACTAGCAGAGCAATGTAAGAAATTCAACTGAAAAGACAATTATATGGTCCATTTCTATTGTGTGTGTACTGTATGTAAGGCACTTTACCTCTCTGAGGTTGTAGGTGAGGTTGTGGTGTATGTCCTCATTAAAGCGGCTGACATATTCTGGGTAGAGCTCCAGAACCTCCTGCAGCGCTCTGACGCTGATGTACTGTAGATCACAGTAGGTCAGAGCCTTTACATCTGCGTTAGCTTTGATCACCTGATCCTTCCCAGGCAGGTCAGCACCAATCAGGTCTCCCTTACCTGTACACCAGGCAAACACGTTATGTTGCATTCACGCCATGTCGTAATTACCATAGGCTCGAGATGACAACACATGACTTCCTATTTGGAGCTGTTCATGTCCTCAGACTGGGAATTATGCATTTCTATAGCACCACTAACCACTATCAATGCCTAAACGAATCAGCAGTGGTCAAGTGGTACAGCGGTCATGAAGGAGCTCTCAGAAAGTCCCATCTTACAAGCTGTAATTGAGAGTTGTACGAGGACACGAATGCTTTTTACATTTTGAAATCTTGAAATGACAGTAACTTCAACATGGCGTGAACGCACCTTTAGTACACGCAAGTCAAGCTGTTGTTTGAGTAAATTGCACAAAGATAAATAGAACACTTGCAGAACTGAGCTTATCAGTTTAATTAATTATCTATCAATCTATCAGTCTGACTGCCAGGTGCTTATTTATTTGGTTTGAGCTGAAAACAGCTGCATCAACCACAACAGCTGGTACTAACATTTAACTGTCAGAGCTACATAACTTGAAAATTGTAGTCCGTTACTGATTCCAAATGACATGACTTTAGGTAATATAATCAGACTACTTACTCTTAACCTAACCTGTTTATCACATTGATTTAAATAGGATAATCCTGTACCATAGTGATATAAAAATGCAAAGAAAAAGAAAATATATTCCATTGAAGTGCATTAAACATTACATTACATCAAGGTTTCCCAAACTGTGGTTTGTGAAGGAACTGCAGGGGGTCCGTGAATTTAATAAAAAGCTAATATATAATCAAATCATAAAAATGTCAAATTAAAATAAATCATTTTAAAATAACAACAATCAAAATAAAACACTTGCTAAAAATGAAATATTTAATTTGTTTACCTGCATGTCATGTGACCATTAACCAACGTCAGAGAACCGTGAACATGCAAATGTGATACTTAATTATTAACCTATTACTTTATATATAATTATATTAGGTGAAATAGGTTCAGATGACAAATACCGTTTGGGAATCCCTGCATTACATGTAAATAATAAATAACGTGAATTTGTGCATTTTAATGCGTTTGAAAAACAAAAGCCTTCCAAAGACATAGTAATACATGGTTAAATAACCTACTGAGTGATAATTCAAATACATATTTATGTGTTCATCAGTAGTAGATGCTATGTTGAGTTTTGTTTTTCTGTGTAATTACAGCCACCTATCTAGTGACTGGTCTTTATGTGAATGTCCACAAAACTGGAAAACTTTCCAAATGTATATTCAGAATGTGTAATAGTGGTAGGGTATTTTAGAAAGGAACATTTAAAAGAAGAAAAATAGGAATTAGGGAGAATCAATAAATTATGAATAATTTATTGCTGTTGTGTGAAGAATATGTAACCATGTATTCAGTAAAAAAGTAACTGTTGTCTGATTACGAGTATTTTAAAGGGGTCCTATTATGCTCTTTTACAAAGTCTTGATTTTGTTTTGGGGGTGTACTAGAACAGGCTCTCATACTAGGTTGTTTGAAAAACATTATTTTTCACATATTTTACATTATTACAACACCTTTCTCCCCAGTTTGGCATGAACGGCTCGAATAGTTCCTGTATCAAATTAAGGCCCGCCTTCTGAAATACGAAATGTGCTGTGATTGGTTAGCTGGGCCAGTGTGTGTTGTGATTGGTCAGCTGGGCCAGTGTGTGTTGTGATTGGCAGCACTCGGCGCCTGGTCCGGAAATGTCATCCCCCTTACCATAGCCGCCTGCTGCGAGCTTCAGAGTAAATATTGTGTCAAAATCAAATCAATTTGAGCGTGATTTAAAGGGATGCTGCTAAAAAGAACATTATTTTGTATATCACTTTCACAACGAAAAACACGGCGGCCTAGCGTGAGCTGAGGCCAGGCTAGAGTGATCAGAGGTGGCGGGGTCGAGAACGGCGGGCCCGGCGAATTCGACGAAGGAGCGGCATATGTGACGACCACAGTGCTTTCAGTCCATTTAGATTCAGCAGGCTAGATCTCGCCAAATCAATATTTTAAAAGAGTTAACAGAGCTGGGTAGTAACTGATTACATTCAATCTGGATTACGTAATTAGATTCCAAAAATTAAGTACTTGTAATTAGATTAAATTACATTTTAAAGGGGCCCCTTTAAAATGTAATTTAATCTAATTACAAGTACTTAATTTTTGGAATCTAATTACGTAATCCAGATTGAATGTAATCAGTTACTACCCAGCTCTGTTAACTCTTTTAAAATATTGATTTGGCGAGATCTAGCCTGCTGAATCTAAATGGACTGAAAGCACTGCCTGCAGGAAATTGGTTGGATTTGTGTTACATGATGTGATCCTTTAAGGCAAGTCGGCTCACTTGTTGACTGTTGTGGTAACACCCCTTAACCGCCTTTTCTATATAAGCATTTGTCTATACTGTTTATGGAACATACCCAGTATGGCAAGCACCATGCCGTCCTTGAGGACCTCTAAAGACCCCGAGCAGACGAAGTGCTGAGCATGCAGGGCATCCCCATGCCGAATGAGGTACTCTCCAGGTGCACAGAACGAAGTCTTAATGTGCAAAGATAGTGAACGCAGGCAACCCCTACTGGCGGAGGAGAAGAGCGGCAGCTGCAGAATGTCTTTGTTCAGGTGCATGGCGATGTCCGCCCGCAGCTCGTCTGGGAAGTCATGTAAAAGCTAGCAGACAGGGAGAAAGATGGACATTACCCACAATGCCATGGGATTATGTAAAGATCATGGCTGCATCTTAAGATAACAAAAACAAAGATGACATCTAAAAGCTGTGGTTGGTTGTCAGTTGGAATGTAGGCTTAGGCTACATATACAGTACATTTTGGACCATCTACTTTTAATGTCATTTCTAGCAAGACATTTGTATTGTAATTTAATATTCACTTATCAAGTTCTCTCTGTTTTGTTGTGCGTCATTAAATTATTATGCTGACCTAGATGTCTGTCCGAAATCAGTTTTGGGAGGTACCTTCGTGTGCAAACACTGCCTGCAAAGTCACTGCCTGATAGGGCAGGGAGGCAACAAGTCAGCTAAGCTTTCGGACGCAGCCTGTGCTTAGGCTGTAAAAACCATAACCATCATAATCATTATGCGATTAGTCATACTCTTTCACTCACGTATAAGATGAATTAATCTCTGTTAGAGATCAGAATCCATCTTTCAATATGATCTCAACAGGATGCAATATCAGCAGAGTACAGTAGGTGTTTAAAGGGTGCTCCTGTGAACCATTTGCAGTGTTGTTGTTGTTGTTTTTCAATCATTGCATAAATTAGTAGCATGTCAGATCAGAGTGTAAATGAGTTAGGCCACACTTCAGTTTTTTCTTCCCACACATACACAGTGCAGGGGAGTAACTAACTAAAAGTAGCAGTGCTACTAACTAAACTTCATTTTTAGTGGTGTGACTGTAGCTGATAATGTAGCTTTTACAGCAACATGCTACTTTTGCCCTAATATTGGTTTACGCACAAAGCTTTACAGCTGAGCAAGCTGAAGAAATAATTAAACACTCTTCTCAATGGTCCTCCCTCATGTTTTGCACTGGAAATGTCAGGTTCATTTTTAGTCAATCAGCTCAGATGGTTCATTTAAATCAATTCGAAAAAACTATTCACAGATTCTTTTAAATCCCTGTGGGTATTTTCTGTACTTTTTTATACAAAATGCAGCTGTTTACGATCTGTTAGGGCTGTAGTACTCGAGTCCGGTCTTTTTTATTAATGTTAACAAAGACAAAAATAAATAGTGTAATAAAGATATTGTTAATTGTTTGTTCATGTTAGTTAATACATTAACTAATGTTAACAAATGACACCTTATTGTAAAGTGTTACCGACTCTTTTTATGAGGTTAGAAATAGGGCTGAAAGATGAATCGTATTTTCATTGTCATTGCAGTATGAACATGTTATTTAGCAATGGGCACCGAAACGTGCTATGAAATAGCAGAGTTGGTGGATTTAGGCGCCAGAGTGCAGAATTCAGCACTCAACAAAACTCTGGTGTTTCAGCGATGACTCATCTGAACGCCTTTGATTGGCCATTGCATTAATAAACTCAATGGAATCGTATGTTATTGGTTGTAATGCTCACCGCTGCAAAAACAAAAAAAACAAAAAAAAAAATATTTAGTTTTATTTGTTGGCCCTAATATGCAGAGTTAATTATTCATTTATTTATCACAAGTAATCATCATTGCAAAAAAAAAAAAAAAACTCCACTGTTATCACACAGCAGAATTTCCTCATATCGTGCAGGACTATTAGAACGGCAAAATCAATGCAAATCAGTGGATATGTCTGCTATAATAGGATAGGTGTGTTAAGGCCAGTTGGAGCTAAACTCTGTAGGGCATTGGCCCTCCAGGATCTAGTTAGGAGACCCCAGTCCTACAGAGTTGTTACTTTGCACATGCTTTTTGATCATTACAAATAATACTGTAAAATGATTTTCTTAGAATAGGAGATAGGCTGTCTCTCGCATCACATACATTATCAATAGTTAAGTATGTGGTCTTGAAGAGGATCCTTTTTTTTTCTCTCATTTGGACTCGGTCTTGACTTGGACTTGAAACTTTTGGACTTGGACTTGGACTCGAACCTCTTTGGACTCGGTCTCGACTAGTCCTGGTCTTGTACTTGTCTTGGACTCGACAAAGCTGGACTTGACTACAGCTCTACGATCTGTCAACTTGAAAATAGAAATCAGATTGTTTTTCTGTTTTTATTAGTTATATTTAATTTATATTAATCTCAATCTCATTATTTTTTATCATCTATTTATATAGTACTGTTTAAAAGTATAGGGTCAGTATGATTTTTGTTTTATGTTAAAGTCTCTTATGCTCACCAAGGCTGCTCAAAATACAGTAAAACCAGTAATTTTGTGAAATATTATTACAATTTAAAATAACTGTTTTCTATTTAAATATATTTTAAAATGTAATTTCAATGTACTACAGTCTTTAATGTCACATGTTCCTTCAGAAATCATTCTAATATGATGATGCTCAAGAAAAATTTCTTATTATTATCAATGTTGAAAATGGTTGTACTGCTTAACAGTTTTGTTGAAACTATTTCTTCAGAATATTTTGATGAATATAAAGTTCAACATCTATCTATCTATCTAGATAGATATCACCTCCTTAAAAAACGGAGTTTAACTACTTTTAAAATAGTAGCTTATAACTTTTTACAGTTTTAAAGTAGTTCCCCCAACACTGCACCCAAGATCTTCCTGTTTCGGTTTTAATTAGATATAGGTCTTTTCATTGTGGGCAATACAATTACCACTGCTATAACAATGACAGTATTCAGCATTAGTGTAAGCCTCAGAAAGCTATAATTAGCCCATTGAAAGTAGATGTGACCCAGATCTATGCTCATGAATTGTTCTCGATCTGATGATACTAGTATGTTATCAAACTCTGATGGGGGCTTTTACACGCTTAGAAAAAAAATACTTAATTGGGGCTATATATAACCCTTTATATTGTTCTGTACTGAACTCTGTAGAACACTTTATTCCAAAAACATTCCAAAAATAAAAACAGAACTGACCTGAGCTTCCACTTGATTAAATGTTTAAGATAAAGCAAGTGAATTAAACTGTCATGGCACCATGTAAACATTGCAGTCATATGCTCCACATGGCATGGTTTGTAGGGTCTCACCTCGTTGGCGTTGATGCCATTGTTGACAGACCAAGTGGTCTGGAAGTACTCCAGCATGCGCTGCTTCAGTTGCTGGGGCAGGCGATGCACACGGATAAAGTCCTTTAGATCCTTCATGCGTGTGTGGTAGAGCGAACGACGGGAGTACATGCGCTGGATGATGGCTGTCACATTTCCAAACACCACGGCGTGCATCAGGGCTGTGAGAAGAATGCGAGATAGTGAGAGAGTCTTGAATAATTGGCTGTCTGAATCATCTCAGTGAACAATATGTTCTACATCTTAAATTAGATACCGAACTTTCTGGAATTAAACTATATGGATACCAAAATGAGGCTCTCTTGACCTACAAACAAGCTAATTATACATCAGGCCTGAAACACGCTGGTGAACACACCCCCGATAAGCATGGTACAGATGGAGAAGATCTTCTCAGCGTCTGTGTTGGCACAGACGTTTCCGAACCCAACGCTAGTCAGACTGCTCAATGTGAAGTAGAGCGAAGCGATGTAGGCACTGCGCAAAGATGGGCCACCAACTGTACCATTCGTGTAAGGGGTCTCCAGCCGCTTGCCCAACTCCTGTAGCCAACCTATAAAGGACAGGAACAGTGGAATTAGAAGGAAAAAATAGGGGATTGAAACATCAAATTCATATTGACTTAAAAAATCTAAAAGAGAAGCTATCAATTGATATACACTACCATCCAAAAGTTTCTTGAGCATCAAATCAGCATATTAGAATGATTTCTGAAGGATCATTTGACTAAGACACTGAAGACTGGAGTAATGATGCTGAAAATTCAGCTTTACCTTCAGGAATACATTTTAAAATATCTTCAAATAGAAAGCAGTTATTTTAAATTGTCATAATATTTTACAATATTACAGTTTTATGGAATTATTTTTTTAATCAAATAAAAGCATAGAGAACATAAGACTCTTCTTTCAATAAAATAAAAATCTTACTGAGCCCTGAACTTTTGAATGGTAGTGTATTTAACTGGCATCTTAATACACAGAGAAACCATTCAGTCCCTCACCGATGTCCCAGGTCAGGGGGTCATTGCTGGCAAGCTCTTTGCGTCCAATGACGTACCAAACACAGGCCAACCAGTGTGCCAGCAGGGCAAATACAGACATTAGTAGTGTCAGGACCACAGCACTGTACTGAGAATAACCATCCAGCTTCTGCAGCAAGCGCAGGAGACGCAGCAAACGCACGGTCTTCAACAAGTGCACCAGGGAAGTCTATCAAAAAACACACTCACATTTAGCACAGCTTTACACTATGAAAATGATGATAAATATTAAAACACCAATAAATAGAATGGAAGTCATCAACTCTCAGTCAAGGTTTAAATTTGTATTTATCTGTATGTATAACTTTGGTTTACCCTGTATGAACCCACTACTGCAATATACAATAAATGAGATTAATAAATAGGATGAGACACAAAATTACATAACATAGCATAGAACAACCATATTCTATAGTATTTTAAGGTTTAATATGTATTCTCACCACTGAGATGTTGAATAAATAGAGCAGGTCAAAGGGCAGAGCAGCGATGAGGTCCAGGATGAACCAGGTAGTACAGTAGTGCAAACAGATCAAGCGAGCATCATAAACCACCTGACCCGCAGGCCCAACGTAGGTGGTTCGGAAATTCAGAATGATATCTAGGGAAACAAATTAACACAAAAGCAAGCGAATTTAGAAATATAATTTGTTTACAGCATTCAAACATCGAATACTATTTCTCACCAGAACAGTCATGAGTTCATAAACAGTGCCCCTTCAATTGAACACAAATATTGACGGTGAATGCATAAATATTAAAAACATGCTAATTAGAGTGATGAACCCTCGTACATGCTGGACTGAATAAATATTCATGAATACTGTTCTGTGCAGATCCTTATTCCGTGGTACATTTAGTCTCATCAACCAATTATTTTACCACATCTGTGTACATGAGGTTTATCAAATTACCACTGGCTTCAGGTCACAGCGGGGCTTCCGTATTATTATTATTTTTTTTAAATGAAAAGAGATTTTGTTTTATGCTTTGTGCAAAAACTCGATTATATCGGGAGTGTGGATTTGAAAGATGGTCTCAGTTGGGAATGAGGGTGTGATTGTCACTTTGTTAACATGTTTAAGGTGAAAGCAGCTCTGAGCTCTGCAGATGTCGGACGTTAACACTGTTTAAAAATGTAGGATACAATTTTCCACAAAATCCCACCACACACCGAGGATGAAGAGCATCTCCACAACTATGTCGCTGACAAGGGTGGTTCTGGAGGTGGAGTCACAGTCCGGGTTGTCAGGTTCGCTGTCGTCAGGGGCGGAGAAGCAGACGTTGTATGGGACGGTGACAGCCACATAAAATGTCGCAAGGAGGATCAACCAGTCCCACAATGCTTTGCACACGCTGTAATGAAGCAAAATGAAGCGGGATTTCTGCACCGATGCCACCTTGTATTCCGGGAGAGTTGGCTGTGAAAAAACATGCTGTGAAAAACATGAAAAAACATTTTTTTTATTTCTATTTCTACACCGACAAACGTGCTTCAAAATGTATTTGAATTATAAAACTTCCACACTTCAATAAACAAGGATATTATCTTAAGATGTCATTTTTACTAAAAGCCTCTTAAGTGGAAGCATTTATTTTTATGTGCAAGCAAATTATTTCTCAGCAGCTGGTGATTTGACTGCTGTTATAAATCATAAAAGCCGCATTCAATTTCTTCTCCGTAATTCAGCCTTTTAGACTATAATATTCTGACTTTAATCATGGACGATCTAAATATTCTTCACTACGTCTTTTGTGTGAATGTGGGCCACGCCGTGCCCGTGTTATTGGAGTTTTTAAATTAACTGGCGACCCAGCATGCCCAAATGTGCAATGTGCATGTGCTGTCACCTCATTAAAAAGAAAAAGAATAGTAACCTAATAGAAATGGTTTCTTGCTACATTAAGCATGAACCAGTAACCTTTCAAAACGTTTGGTTACCAATGGTCAGTGGTCTACCTTGCTACAGATTGACCTTCTGCTAAAAACCTGAACTTCTGCTTTTAAACTGCTAAATTTTAAACCATCTGCACTAGATAGTTCACTTTATCTAAAAAGTTATTTAAAAATTAAAAATTAAGATATTCACAGAAGGACTAAAAAACAAAGTCTCCAAAATAAATCTCACAGTTTCTCATTAAATAGTAATTTGTGCCTTAAAAAGCATGGTGATATCAAACACTGCTTGCCCTTGATGTTTCATGTCAGTGAGTGCAAAAAAGCTAAAGATGGATTCAGTCATTTGCCATGAAGATATGGAAAGGCAAATGCAACAAATCAAAAGGTCTAACTTTTGCTATTGCTTTCTGAATGCACCAGAAATAAGTGTTCATTGATTCTCCACACCTGCTGCATTCAGAAAGAATATTTGAATAGCTTAAAGACATTCAGAAAAGTAGCAGGTATGGCTCATAATGACACACAGCAGGAACATTTAACATTTGCTGTGAAATGCCAGGGCAACTCTTAATTGTACCTCAACACAAGAGAGAAGGTCCTCAATTCCCTGTTTCTGATTCACAAGCTCTCGATTAATCTGAGTATATTTCACTTATATTCCTCTGCTAAAACTATAAGTTATACGTGGCAGTATTTCATGTTGATTCAAATCATATTTTTGAATTATATTCAATAAAAGAATCGGCTTGTAAGAATCGTTCTTTTTTGGGAATATGGCTGCACTGTTCGTGCCATATGTTTGTTTTTGCTTGCAGTTCACAAGGACACTCAAATAAAGATCTTTCTTGCCATTATTCTTTTTATTGTGTCACATTCAATACAGACTGCAACCTCACAGACAGCACCTTATAACTTATTACTATGTTGAGTGAGCACAAGTACAAGAACAAGAAGCACAGATACATTCACACAGCCATTGAAATAGGCATAGAGTATCTTTGGATCTTATCTTTGGATTTTAACAATCAATTGCTCAAAGATTGGATATAATTTTTTTATTTTTACATTATATTCAGATTTCAAATATTTTGGTCTATAAAAATTTGTCATTTGAGACACATTAGACTTTATGTTCAATATTTTGTACCATATTAAGACCTAGTTAACATCTATTTACGGTCCAAACTTTTCTTGCCTACCGGAAAGACATTTTCAAGATGTGCTTGGAATTGTTTTCACTTCTAGCTTCTTATTCTTCCATGGGACATTATATTCAGATTTCAAATATTTTGGTCTATAAAAATTTGTCATTTGAGACACATTAGACTTTATGTTCAATATTTTGTACCATATTAAGACCTAGTTAACATCTATTTACGGTCCAAACTTTTCTTGCCTACCGGAAAGACATATTTTCAAGATGTGCTTGGAATTGTTTTCACTTCTAGCTTCTTATTCTTCCATGGGTATGTTTGAATTTTTGTAGCTTTCATGCAGCTGCGAGTCATCTATTCATCACTGAACGTTCAATAGACGTGATTTCTTATGCAAAGCCAGTTGTTCACATATAATTAATTAAAAAGGCATTTACATCACAATGTAGGTGTTCAGTGAGTTGTAAGGATTTTGGGAACGGTGTGTTCTTTTCCAAGCGTGAGGACTGATTGTCCTGTACAAAGGGCTGGTGTCTGGTATATTTATTTATGAAAGTAAGTATCGTCAGCTGGACGTAAATATAGAATATTCTGCTAGATATCAACACACGAGGCTGACCTTTTCATTTTAGCTACAGTAGACTTCTGTTTCATCTTGTTAGCTGGAAGCACGAGGACATTTACTCTTTAAAAGTGTCAACAGTTTGTAAGGTCAGTCATTACAGAACATAATGTCAGAGAACAAGAATATCATCTTTATATGCTGCACTAAAAAATAATAATGCATTTTCTTTACCAGTATTCTCATCCATTTTCCAGGAAAAAATACTTAAAATACAAGATAAATTTACTTGCATTAGAATGAGAAGCAAAATTGTGTATGATAAAGATTTTTTATTTCCCAGAGTTCCAAGTTTAATTTCTTTGTTTTTAGTATAAGTTTGTCATCATATTAAATACAATTTTGGACGGTTTATGGTTAAAACTATTGATGACAGGGTAAGCTATTTTTTTTAAATACATATTCTCTGAAGTGTGTTTTTTCTACAATTTTGCTAATCAAACATATTTGAGAGGTGTACTCAGTAATTTTTCATTAATTTATTAACTGGATACCAGATTACTTGTAAGTGCAACATATTCAGTCAACTCAATATATCAGAATATTGATTCTGATTTACTACACTCCACAAAGGTGAGTGAGAATGATTGTGGTTTTCATATCTACTTACATTTGGCAGCTTCCTTTTGCTCCTATTGGTGAACTGACAGGTCAGGTGGTACAGGACGCTGCGGCCACGCTCACGAGCTTGACTCAGATGAGTTCGACTGGACTTCCTGTTGTGAGTACCATCCTCTGACACAACAGAAAAACACACAGAGAGTAAATAAGATCAACTATTATTTGGATCAAACAGGCTCACTGCCAGTCAGTTACCTTCTGTGGTGGAGCCAGGATGTGATTTGCCATACGAGTCAGTGATGTTTTTGAAGGATAAGAGAAAAAGAACCACTTCTCCTTTCTCATTTTTAATAGGGACAATGTCCAGCTGACACCAGAATACGGTACCTGGGTTCACAGAAGAAAAACTATGAAAGCTCCAGATATGCGTCTACAAAGTACAAATATACACTACTGGTCTGAAGTTTGGAATAATTAAGATTTTTTTCTTATGCTCACCAAGACTGCATTTATTTAATCAAAAATACAGTAAAAACAGCAATACTGTAAAATATATAACTACAATTTAAAAGAACAGTTTTCTATTCAAATATATTTTCAAATGTAATTTATTCCTTCTTCAGTGTCACATGATCCTTTAGAAATCAAGAAACATTTACTTTTATTATCAGTGTTGAAACAATGTTGAAAACTGTGATAAGACTCTCATTCAAAAGTTTAGGGTAAGAAACAAAAAACAAACTAAACTTTTATTCAGCAAGGATGCATTAAATTGATCAGAAAATGACAGTAAACAGTCATTCTTGAGACGTGGGACAAAACAGGTCCAGCAAGGGTAACTGCTATTAGCTTTAAAAAATAAAAATATTTTCAATTTGAAATGTCACGAGGGATTAATAATAGAATGTATTTAATACAATTTTCACCTTCAATTTAATTTTCTCATTATTATACCAAATCTGTGTTTCTTAATGTCCTCTCACTATATCTAAAACTGTGTGTCCACAGAGAAGGGTTCAAGCATTCATATGCAATAAAATGGATAAAAATGTTTTTTTTTAATGATGAAAAAGAGCTTGTTTTATCAAAAAGAAACACTTAATAATATCTCCTATCAAAGCAAGGTTGTTTTTTAATGACACATGCATGTTTCATAAGATTTTAAAGTTGCGTCCCCACTTTTTGTCAACACCGTCAGACATTCAATAAAATGTAATAAAATCAGGGAATATCAGGGGCAGCTGTCACTCTAAAGGACCCCCTTGCCACAGTTCACCTCTGCAGTGTACATCAGTGTCAGACAGGCTCTGCTATGTTTTAGTTTTAGAATATTTTAAATCCTAATGTTAATATTTCCTGTGTCACAGCCATGATATGTCAACACCATCTTCCAATTTCTAAGGAAATTATTTGAAATATTTAGATAATTGTATTCTCCTGAAGCAGGTTCCATTAGCATCTAGCATCAACAGAAACAAATAAAATGGCTACTACATGAACTCCACACTCTAAAAAATGCTGGGTTAAATACAACCCAATTGCTGGGTTTGTCCCTATTTTACCCAGCACTGCTTTGTATTTAACCCAGCATTTTTTAGAGTGCATTGGTTTTGTGAAAGAAATGCCAAATTTGTCAACACCGTCAGATGTCCCCACCATAAGATTTTGTGTTCCAATGATATATCAAAATACTTAAACATGACTCTTGAATAAAAGCTTTATAACCTATAACATACTCACTGTTTGTTGTGTTTGTTTTAATACAGTAATTGACTGATTCAATGTATTTGATAGTTAAAATTACTACAAATTCAGGTTTTCGTCACCACCGTCAGATGGGTCAACTCCGTCAGTTCGGTCACCTCCGTCAGTTGAATATTTTGATAATATTTAATTATGATATTTTATATTTGTTGTGGAATTGTTGGTCACATGTGAAAGTGTAATCTGTCTGCTAACACGAGAATGTGTTTTGAAATGTTAAAAACATCTTGAATGCTGTTAAAGATAAAGTTGAAATTATATTACACAGTCCAAGGTAAAAAAGCACATTTTGTTAAAAAACAGAAAAGTTGGGAGGTTGTATCAAAGCATAGCTCAGTAGCCTAGTACATCTAAGATACATAAATGTAGTTTAATTTGTCTGAGTACAAGTTTTTTTTTTAAAATTTTGCACCGTTTTGTCCCACTTTTCAAGAATGACTGTATACATTTATAATGTTACAAAAATATTTCTATTTCAAACAAATTCGGTTCTTTTGAACCTTCCATTCATCAAAGAAAATTCCACAAAAATATTAAGCAGCACAACTGTTTTCAACATTGTTAAATATAAGAAATGTTTCTTGAGCAGCAAATCAGCATAATAGACTGATTTCTGAAGGATCATGTGACACTGAAGACTGAAGTAACGATGCTGAAAATTCATTCATTACATTTTAAAATGATTTCAAACTAAAAACAATTCTTTTAAGTTGCAATATTTCTCTTATTACAGTATTTTTGATGGTAAACATAAGAGACTTCTATCAAAAACAATCATTCCAAAAAACTATTATATTTCTCATTTTATGAAGTGCTGAAAAAGATAATTATACAATGAATTGTCGTTACCGTTCTTCCTGTAATAGCGGACCTCCGTCTGGAACTCTCTCTGTCCTTCCAGGGTTTTGTCCACCTGCTGAGTGACTCTCTCGCTTGTTTCCTGTCCGTGCAGGAACTGACATGTGCATGTCTTCTTCATTACCTCTGTACGTGCAAACCCGGTGAGCTCGCAGAACCCATCCGAACAGTACACGATGGGGTACCCACGACTCCCCTGAGCATTTCCCAGCAGGAAGTTACTGTCTGTACACACCGAATATAGACACACATAGGAAAGAATTGGAAAACGGTGAGATGTAAAAAGTCACCCATTTTGCTTTTCATAAATGTACAAAATAAATGCAGGCGGTTTATCATATAGAACGCTGTATGCCATATACTGTATTAGGCTACTCTCTCATTATCGCCTTCTCATTAGCATGCTAATTATAGATGTGTGTACTGTTTCCATGGCAACTTGGCTATTCTTTTGCAGGGGTGGAGGAGATTATATAAGAATCAATTGTCTGTGGGTGCGTATGAGTGTATTTGTAAAAAAGAAGTACTATGGTGGCCTCTGGTTCTGGATCAAACAGTCTTAGCTAAATATTTTGGTCCCCAAACTGGACAGCACTCTTTCCCTTAATGCTACCAATCAGTTGCTTTCAATTAAACCACAATGAATATGTACACAAACTATTATAACAGACAAGTGGAAATAATATATGAATCAAAATTCAGTTTGTGTCATTATTCCGCATTAATGAACAAACATACACAAAATTATTTTTTTTCTCACTCAGACATTCAGATGAGCTTTGGTAAATAATATTAATGGAAAGCCATTATTAAACATTGTTAAAGACATGGAAAACATGTAATTGATCAGTATCATGTTACACTTTACACATCTACACAGAGCATTTCATCCATCCATGCATTCAATTGTTCCTTGCAAGAATCAATAGACAGCACTGGTGCAGAGCAACTATAAATAAAGCTTAAGTTAGATGCATGACCTCACCATCAACCTCAGTACACAGAACAAGCCTATAGTGTGAGTGCTGCATCTGCGCCACTGACATAATGAACAAATAAATGAACGAGAGTATGAGAATATGAAGCAATTGAGGTTCCTAAATGAGCAAATAAACTATTCGGGGGGGATCAGATTTCATACACTTACTGAACTGATATGCGTACATAGGAGAAAGGCACTTGATATCTGATTGATATCTTTGCTTCATCTGTTGCTAATATTATTTCATACTATGATATTATTGATATAACATTATTCTGTTACAGTTGACATACAAGATTGTACTTGAGATTGCCAATTTGTCTGCCCGTTTTTAATGTTTATCATTATCACAGGCTGGAATCTGTCTGTGGTATCAGATAAGCTAGAAAGAATGCTGCTTGTTATACTACTCTAGATGCAAAAACAAAAATATGCTTAATATCAACCTGTAGAGCTAGATCAAGCCCAAAAAAGGCCAAGATAAGACATGAAGTCAGCATTATAAAGAACATTGTGGTCTGAAATTCTGCACAAACATTTCAGGCATCAACTTACACAACACTACAAAATAGTTAAGAATGTGTTTGTAATATAATAATCATGTTATACAGAACTATAAGTGGGGATAAAATAATAATAAATAATAATAAAACTTTATTACACACATACATTTACACCACGTGCACACACACACACATACACACTTATTTGCTTGTTTAGTGCTACAGGTTCAGAACCGGCCACACAAAGATCACTGCAGGTGCATGTAAAATGAAAATCATTAACACAACAAATTAATGTGTTACTGTATTCACAAGTTAAGTTTATAGAGAGACTAAAATTGGTGTTCAAACCATGTATGTGTGTGTTTCTTCACACATACAGTCTTTTCCCTATCAATCCATTCAAATACACACTGTTATTGCCACAGAAGCCAATAGTTAAGATAGATTCTGCTTTCCAAGATGGTGAGATGATACTGTGCAACTGACAGCGACGAAAACTATCATTATGTGCTGTGGTATTAAGGCAAGATGTTTTTGGTATCTTGTTGCTATGGAAATATACATTAAAAAAAATAAAAAAAGCATATGTCAGTGTGCTTATTTCTGTTGCTGAGGTTACCAGGAAACTGTCTACAGTTGATTTTTAATAGAAACTGTGAAAACAGGTTCATATCCATGCAACTGCAATCTAAGGGAAAATATACACCCGTACATAAAGAAACAGTGATGGATAAAGTATTTGAAATCCACACTTAAGTACAAGTATAGATATCTTACCAGAAAATGACTTTGGTAGAAATTAAAGTCACAGTTTAGAATATTACTTGAGTAAAAGTTTAAAAGTATACCAATAGTTAAGATAGATTCTGCTTTCCAAGATGGTGAGATGATACTGTGCAACTGACAGCGACGAAAACTATCATTATGTGCTGTGGTATTAAGGCAAGATGTTTTTGGTATCTTGTTGCTATGGAAATATACATTAAAAAAAATAAAAAAAGCATATGTCAGTGTGCTTATTTCTGTTGCTGAGGTTACCAGGAAACTGTCTACAGTTGATTTTTAATAGAAACTGTGAAAACAGGTTCATATCCATGCAACTGCAATCTAAGGGAAAATATACACCCGTACATAAAGAAACAGTGATGGATAAAGTATTTGAAATCCACACTTAAGTAAAAGTATAGATATCTTACCAGAAAATGACTTTGGTAGAAATTAAAGTCACAGTTTAGAATATTACTTGAGTAAAAGTTTAAAAGTATGTGTGATATTTATTGTACTATATTTATTTTTTAAACATTAAACTTAAGTATTTAAAGCAAAAGTACAAGTCAATTCAAAATAGAAAAGGAGCAAATAAATATTTTAAATTGTTCTATACACAGTCTGAGCAGCAAGATTGGGTTCAGTTTTAACTCTTTCTTTCATTTTGTATATTTGGTTTAGCATAAGAGCCACTTCATCTGGTACGAAGACTCTTTCATTCCAACATAAGAAAACAGTTTTTGCAAATATGGAATCTGCATCTGAAGTGGCATTTAGATTCATTTAAACAGACTGTTTAATGCAGCTCAGAGGGGATGCATTTAATCAGCAGTTACAAATACATTTTGTTTTAAATAATGTAATAAATAATAATTAAATATTTAATTAAAAATTAATAAATATTTTGTTTTAAACAAAACTATGAATACTGATATTTGAAAAGATTGATGAGATTGAAGATTGAAATGTTAAATTAAAACTGCCAGTAGGTGGCAACAAGTCACTGTTAGAGTAACTCGAGATTAAATCGATTCATTCAAAAGGTTGATTCATTTAGGAATGAAATATTGGACTGTTTTAATGAATGAGTCGCTGAATCATTCGTTCAAAAAACTGATTGATTTCGTGTTGCTTTGGACAAAAACAGGCATCTAAAATGTAACTTAATACTAACTTTATTATACTTGTATAAAATCAATATTACATTTGTTATGCTGATATCTGGAGAGAGAAAAAATGGCACTCTTAGTGAGATACAGATTAACTATATTAAATGACATAAAACGACATACGGAGGCATTTTGACTCTAATCTTGAATCTTGACCACACACTGATTCATCAAACCTGCTTTCTGGCAGTCTCTGTTCTTCTGACATTATTTTGTAGTAAGTAACGAATATGCTTCAGGGAAATGTATCGGAGTAAAAGTATACAATTTAATTAAGAAATATATTGGAGTAAAAGTTGACAGAAATATTAAAACTCAAGTAAAGTACAGATTCTCCCCAAAATACTTAAGTATTTTAACGAAGTATTATTACGTAGTTACATTACACCACTGTAAATGTAACGGAGGGAACACAGGAAGCTTGCGGATCCATCTGCAAGGCTTTATTCGCAAGAGACGTGGTCAAAAACAGGCATAGGTCAGACAATGGCAAACAGGTATATTGATGGCAAGGCAAGAGGGATAATCCAGGTACAAGGCAAAGGTCCAGGTAGGGGCGAACAGTTTCCAATTGGGCGAGACTCGAGGGATAATCCAGGTACACAGGCAGTGATCAGAACACGGGGAAACAGACAAGGCAAGATGATGAAAACAAGGAAAAACAAGACACTAGGCTCGGTAAGGCAGCTAACACTAGGGGAGTGGAAAATGCAGAACAATACACGAGACTAAAACAGAAAACACAGAATGGCTCGGTAAGGTAGCTAACACTAGGGGAGTGAAAAACGCTAGACAATACTCCGCGATCTGAACAGGAACTGAGTGGGTGTTAAATAGAGTGAGTAATGGCTCTCAGGTGAGCGTGTAATTAGTGAAGGCTGTGTGATCAGTGAATACAGCTGTGTAAGTGCAATGGATGATGGGAACTGTAGTCCGGAGTGACATGTAACAGTCTGTGTAGTGAGAGAGTCAATGTAATGGTAGAGTGACCTCTACTGGTAAACGGCCGGAAGGCCACGGACCGGATTTGTGACAGAGCCCCCCCAAGGAGCGGCTTCCAGATGCTCCCAACACAATACCATCCAGGAGGGTGGTGGAGCAGAGGCGGAACAGGGGGAGGGACGGGGGGCCAGGTCCATGTGGAAATGGAGA